TGCTCTCTTGGAAAGATGATTATTAGGCCATCTTTAAATAAAATTGGAGTTGAAACTCCTGCATTTTTAGAAAGAATTCAAGGAGATATTTGTGGGCCAATTGCCCCACCATGTGGACCATTTCGTTATTTTATGGTGTTGATCGACGCATCAACACGTTGGTCACATGTTAGTCTTTTATCTACAAGAAATTTTGCATTTGCAAAACTCCTTGCTCAAATCATACGTTTGAGAGCTCAATTTCCAGATTATTCAATAAAGAAAATCCGACTTGATAATGCAGGAGAATTTACATCTCAATCATTTAATGACTATTGCATGTCTATTGGGATTGATGTGGAGCATCCAGTTGCTCATGTGCACACTCAAAATGGTCTTGCTGAGTCTTTAATAAAGCGATTACAATTAATTGCTAGACCATTATTGATGAAATCTAGTTTACCTGCATCTGCTTGGGGACATGCTGTATTGCATGCTGCAAATTTAATTCGGCTAAGACCTACTGCAAATCATATTTTTTCCCCATTGCAATTGGTAACTGGAAAAGAACCAAATATTTCTCACATTAAAATATTTGGATGTGCCGTATATGTACCAATTGCTCCACCACATCGTACAAAAATGGGTCCTCAAAGAAGGCTGGGAATTTATGTTGGCTTTGATTCTCCCTCAATTATAAAATATCTTGAGCCAATGACTGGTGATTTATTCACAGCTCGGTTTGCTGACTGTCATTTCGATGAGACAGTATTCCCAGCCTTAGGGGGAGAAAATGAGAAAAAGGACCCATGTACGAAAGAGATTACATGGAATGCAACAGGATTATCTTTTCTTGATGCAAGAACAAATGCATGTGAACAAGAAGTGCAAAAGATAATTCATTTACAAAATGTTGCAAATCAATTGCCTGATGCATTCACGGATTCAAAGAAAGTGACAAAGTCACATATTCCTGCTATGAATGCTCCTGCCAGAATTGAAATTCCTTCAGAGAAAAATGAAAAAACTCTTGCAAATGAGTCTTCAATACGCAAAAAGCGTGGCAGACCACTTGGTTCAAAAGATGTAAAACCAAGAAAACTTAAAAGGCAAGAGACAATGTTTGAAACAAAAGACGTTCATTCTTCAAAGAAAGAAAATGAACAAACCGAGCATGTTGATATAAAAAATAATATCAACGAACAATTTGTTTCAAATGAGGATTTAACAACCTCTGAAGATGCGAATAATTCAGATGAAGATAGAAACGTTGATAATTATGAGATCTCAATAAATTACGTTTCTACGGGATTGCAATTGAACAGAAAATATGTTCATGTTGATGATATATTCGCATATGCCATTGCCACAAACATCATGGATGAAAATGATGACATTGAGCCAACTTCAGTTGATGAATGTCGACATAGACATGATTGGCCAAAATGGAACGAAGCAATTCAGGCAGAATTGAAATCACTTGAAAAACGAAGTGTTTTTGGGCTTATAGTTCCTACGCCAAAAGGTGTGAAACCAGTTGGTTTCAAATGGGTTTTTGTGCGTAAGCGCAATGAGAAAAATGAAATTGTGAGATATAAAGCCCGCCTCGTTGCCCAAGGTTTTTCTCAAATCCCGGGGATAGATTATGAAGAAACTTATTCCCCAGTAGTTGATGCAACTACGTTGAGATTTTTGCTAGGCATGTCTGTCTTTGAAAAGCTTCAAATGCGTTTAATGGATGTAGTGACAGCATATTTATATGGATCTCTCGATACTGACGTATATATGAAAGTTCCTGGAGGGCTAAAATTGCCTGAGGTTTATAGTTCAAAACCTCGAGAGATGTTTTCCATAAAATTGGAAAAGTCACTATATGGACTAAAACAATCTGGCAGAATGTGGTATAATCGTCTCAGTGAATATCTGCTCAGAGAAGGATACAAAAATGATCCAATTAGTCCATGTGTTTTCATCCGTAGATCTAGATCAGGCTTTGCCATTATTGCAGTATATGTTGATGATTTAAACATTATTGGAACATCTGATGAAATAGAAAATACTGCAAAATATCTCATGAAAGAATTTGAGATGAAAGATCTTGGGAGAACAAAATTCTGTCTTGGTCTTCAAATTGACCATTTGAAAGACGGAATATTCATCCACCAGTCAAATTACACGAAGAAGGTTCTGAAGCGGTTTTATATGGATAAAGCACATCCTCTCACATCCCCGATGGTTGTCCGCTCTCTCAATGTACATGATGATCCGTTCCGACCTCGTGAAGATGATGAAGAAATACTCGGTCCAGAAATACCATACTTGAGTGCTATTGGAGCTTTGATGTATCTAGCAAACAACACTCGACCAGATATTGCATTCTCAGTGAACTTGTTAGCCAGACACAGCTCGACCCCGACTAGGAGGCATTGGAATGGAATTAAACACATTTTGCGATATCTCAATGGTACCATCGACCTTGGTTTATTCTACCGCAAAGATGTCAAGGCCACTCTTGTTGGATACGCTGATGCAGGATATTTGTCTGATCCGCAAAAGGCAAAATCTCAAACAGGATATGTGTTTACTTATGGAGATACCGCAATATCATGGAGATCGATGAAGCAAACTTTGACTGCCACATCATCAAATCACCCGGAATTGATTGCTCTCTACGAAACAGGTAGAGAATGTGTATGGTTGCGATCAATGATCCAACATATCCAGAGCAGGTGCGGCATAGAAACAATCACTAGTCATCCGACTCTTATATATGAAGACAATACTGCATGCATTGCTCAAGTGAAAGGAGGTTACATCAAAGGAGACCGAACAAAGCATATATCACCAAAGTTCTTCTCAACACATGATCTCGAGAAAGATGGAAAGGTTGACATCAAGCAAATCAAGTCCAGTGAGAACTCGCTGATTTATTTACAAAAGCGTTGCCCCCAAAGAAATTTGAAGAACTCGTACACAAGATTGGCATGCGTCGCCTCCGTCAATTATGCTAAGCTGAGGGGGAGAATTTTATGAACTGTACTCCTTTTCCCTTGATCAGGTTTTTATCCCACTGGGTTTTTCCTGACAAGGTTTTTAACGAGGCAGTACATAAAATTAGAGTGGGTTACTAAACTATGCCCATTATACTTCATGGGTAGTAATTAACTTTTTACTTGTAAGTTCCCCCTCACAATACTTTAATTACTAACAAGTAAATAAGTTAATTAGTCCGGATGAAAGATCTTATCATCTAATTCTGTGATTAACTACTTGTGATTAATACATGTCATGAAGGGTGAACATAAACATAAGTATGGTTGCCTCTCCACTATAAATAGAGGCCTAATCCCTGCATTGTAATTACCATTAAGAATAAGAAGAAGAGTGAAGAGTTAATAGAGAGAAGAAATCAGAAATATATCATATTTATTCTCATATCTCTGAGTATTTTTTCTCTCATTTTATAACAGTTTTCACATTATTAATTTTAGCAAAGTTTTCATGGGTAAATTTCAAGAATAATATCTCGAACTTTCACAAAAATTTCAATTTAGTACATGAACTTCAAAACATTTTACAAAAGTACCTGAAGATTTACCATATTTTCACTAAACGTTCATTTGCCCATTACCAGGTGACCAGCAACCAGCAGGTCACTTTGGGCCAAATTGCAAAATTCAAATTTTTATTTTTTCTCATTGACTCCCATTTCTTTCTTCTCTTCTCCTTATACTCTTATAATTTATATTCTTTCTTTTTAACTCACTCCCCATTTTCTCTGTCCTTTCTTTTTCTCATCTTTTCTTTTATTTTTTCTTTCTTTTCTTTTTTCTTATTCGCTGTTCTTTCCATCTTTTTTTCTTTTTGATCCTTTTTTAAGTCTTTATTTATTTTTTTGTTCATTTTAAATTTTTATAATTACTTTCCTTTTTGCTTTAATTTTCTTCATCTTGTACTCTTTTTTTATTTTTTCCTTTTTAAAATTTTTTCACTGTTTTAATTTTCTGTATTTGTTTCTGTTGGCTATGTTTTTCTTTAGTTCCTTTTTTAAATCTTTATTTATTATTTATTCCTTTTATGCATTTTCTTATTTCTTACTTTTTTTCTTTTTTGTTTTTCTTTCTTTTTTCCTTTACTTATCCGTTTCATTATTTTTCCCTTTATCTTTATTATTTATCTTTTCTTTTAATTGTGTTATATTTAATCGATTTAATTAAACGAAAAAATCAAACCGTACGTATTAATTTTTTTATTTTTTTTGTTTGTTAACTTTTTTGTGTATTTTTAATCTTTATTGTAAACAATTAAATAAAATAAGTGAATAAAATAGGCCCTAAATAAATACATAAAAAAATGCAAAAATAAACAAGACGAGAGAAATTTTTAAAAAACAAACAATTTTTTTAGAACTCTTACTTCATTTTTATAAAAAAATAATTATATATTAATAACCAACAAAAAAATTTAAAGCAAACAAAAAATATAAGACAAAATAATATAAAAAATAAAAAAGGATAAAGGATTAAATTGATTAAAAATAAAATAACACGGTTATTAAGAAAAAAATATAAAAGATAAAGACAAAATAACAAAACAGATAAATAAAAGAAAAAAGAAAGAAAAACAAAAAACAAAACAAAACAAAGAAAAAAGTAAGAAATGAGAAAAGGAATAAATAATAAATAAATATTTCAAAAAGAAATGAGAAAAGGAATAAATAACAAACGGAAAAAATTAAAACAGTGGAAACATTTTAAAGAGCAAAAAATAAAAAAAAGAGGACAGAATAAAGAAAATTCTAATAAAAAGGAAAGAAATGATAAAAGGTGAAAAATGAACAAAACAATAAATAAAGAGTGAAAAAGGATCAAAAGGAAAAAAAGGAAAAGAAAAGATGGAAAAAATAGCGAATAAGAAAAAAGAAAAGAAAGAAAAAACAAAAAATAAAAGAAAAGATGAGAAAAAGAAAGGAGATAAAAAATGGGAGTTGGTTGAAAAAGAAAAGAATATATTTTATGGGAGTGTAAGGAGAAGAAAAGGAAGAAATAGAGGTCAATGTGAAAAAATAAAAATTTGAATTTTACAATTTGGCTCAAAGTGACCTGATGGTCACCCGGTAATGAGCAAATTAAATAGACTTTTAGTCAAAAGATGGTAAAAGTTTAGTTACTTTTGTGAAAGGTTTTGAAGTTCAAGTACCAAATCAAAATTTCTGTGAAAATTCAAGTACTATTCTTGATATTTACCCATGTTTGCATACATAGTTTAAAGTACTCCCTCCGTTTGAGTTTTTTGTTCCTCTATTTTGATTCTAGTGCCATCGGAATGTTTTTAAGGGCTCGATATTATTGCGGTGCTATTGTATTATGCATTTGTACTCTGTTTTTTTTGTGCTAGTGAAGTTGGTTAGACTGAAGGGTGGTTTTTTACTCTTTCATGTTGAAATGTTTCCCACGCTAGAATCTTGTGCCTGATATCATTTTTTTGTGTTTGGATCATCTTGTTGCCTTGTGTTCTTCAAAGTGTTTGTTTGTTGCTCCTCATATGTTCTTTCAAGAGCGAAAGGTGTTGATCATGGGCACAACCTATTCTTTGTGTTATTTCCTTTCCTAACAATATCAGGCATTCAACTAAAGTACTGTAAAGACCACACTTCCAAATTCAATAGATTCAATCTATGAAATGACTTAAAATTCTTACACGTGATTTGACGGCAAACTCTCTTTACGTTTGACTCATTGACTTGTCACACCTTCTTCAAGATCTTCTTAAAGGGACGTGTTATCAGCCTAATTCCAGAATATCAAGGGTCAACATCTTGATTTCACAACAAAATATAAATTTTATGTATATTCTACCCGGTCCTAAAAATCTTTTTTGTTTTGACTTTTTTGATCAAATAATGGCACTCTTTGACCACAAATTAAATTTAATCTAAAAAAATAAATGATATAAAAATTTGATAGATCAAAACTATATCTTAGGATGAACCGATGAACCCAATTATATCAAATTTATATTATAATTAAATATACTTTTCTCACAATTTATGGTTAAAGAGTATCACTGTTTGACCAAAAAAAGTCAAAACAGGAAATATTTTTAAGACTGGAAGGAGTAGCTAATAGTCAAAATTTATCAATTTTGATTGTAAAAAGTGAAAAGTATACAAATATTCTGAAATGGAAATAGTATTATTATGGTTCATCCAACACCTTATTGAAGGGGCATCAATGCAAAAGTAGATTTTTTATTTGAATTCTAGTGTGTTCTTGAAGAATAATCCTAACTAGTTCATACGAATACAGTCAAACGTCATTCCTCTTATTTCAATGTATCTCTATAATTCATCTAATACTTCCTCCCTCCACATTAATCTTCGTGTGTGACAGTGTCACAAATATTAAAATTAAAAAGAATATTATAAGGAAATCTATCAAAATAATACTAAAACATAATGACTTTTCTAATATAGTACCATATGTTTTTAGTTTTCAATGTAGTATCACCATTTAATGTCTACTGATTATTGTTCGAGTAATTGTCCACTGCCACTAGAAATTGTTCAAACTAAATGTCCATCATCACCGGACATTCTTCCAGCCACTAGACATTATTCATGAGAGTACTATTTAGGGAATTAAAAAATTAAGTGCTACACTGAAAAATGACATATGTTTTAGTGTTATTTAGTGCAAATTTCACAGTATTATATGCATACTTAGACAATAAATACGAAGCACATACTTCAAATTATACTGCATATAAGTTTAGCAGAAGAGAAATTTATTACTACTTGATAACCATATGTTCTTTGTAGTTGTTCCCAACAAAGCATAGGTTTAGCAAAAGCATTACAACAACGGAACAGAATAGCTCAAGCAAGACACATTATTACCAAAAGCCACAAACACTAGAAAGCTAAGATAGCCATTAGCTACAAGTTTGATGGTGAGGTTTTGGTGGCTTCCCCATCACTTCTTCATGTTGGCGAAAATAACTTTCGCGAACTCCGAGAGCTTCTCGGTGGAAGGCATGATCTCCTTCACGGCGTCATCGCTGCAGAAGTCTTGCGCCCATTTGGCCAAGCCGGGCACCTTGGCTTGGTCAAGGAGCTTGACGGAGTTGAACTCCTCCGTCACTCTGACCCAGCCAATGATGCTCCCAAGCGCAATGTCTAGGAACCCGACCTTGGCCCCGCCGAAGAACTTCTTGCCTTTGCTGCAGCTATGGAACGCGCCTTCTAAGAGACTCAACGCTTCTTCCACCTGCTTGATTGCCTCCCGCTTCGCCTCCTCGCCTTGAGCGGTTGCTATGCCACGCATACTCGGGAAAAACTGTGATCAATTAGATCTGTTAGCTAGTATAATCTCAACTTCGTTGGGGTCTTCGTTGAACCAAGTGTTAATGGAGTATTTTTTTGAGTCCAAGAGGTACAAGCCAATAGATTTAAACAAACTATTGTTTTTGTATATCACATTGTATGATTATTACGTACTCCATCTTGTAAACCATCACATTGAAAAGAAAGTAAATAAAGTTTGATCTTATGAACAGTAAATAAACAATTTAATTTGAGACGAGTGAAGTAATTATAGTACGGAGTAATATATTTAATATTATATATCATAATTATGATCGTTCCCTATTATAGTTAGAGTTATTGTCATACTTTATTACCTTATTTATCTAGCCATTAACATGGAGAATTCTCTACTTTAATCCTCCTTTATTATTTTTACACATCTTCCAGACTTTGGCATCCATCTCATTTTATTTTTACTTTCAAATCGATTATATAATTTGAATTAGATAATCGATTGGCATCATTTTTTTATTCGGTTCAGGCCAAGTATTTTGTGATTCACTTGAGCATGTTGGGATATCTCCCCAATTATCAAAAGGGTGTTGCTAAATCCATCTCACTTTTGACTAAATTCACCCCATATATGAGAATTTTACATGTTTATCCTTATGCTAAGTTTAGATATCATTTTTCTCTTTTTACACTTTTAGAAGTAAATTTGTACATTTCTAACAAATTGGGTGGATATAGCCAAAATTGGGGTGAATTTAGCAATTCCCTTATCAAATACTCCGTGTTTATTACAGAGTATGTTAGTTGAATTGAGAAATTTCATAAATTAGGTTGAGAAAATCCCCACATTTATGAAATATTTCGTATTAATTACGGAGTATATTACTCACTTCGTTTTCTAAAACACTTCTTATTTTATTTTTTTCTCTTCCACCAAAATATATCTACTTTCTATTAAAACCTACTTTTATCCTAATTTTTTTACCCTACATATCACATCATCCTTTTTCTATAATAATCTATCTATCATATTTTACTTTTACCTATCACATAAAGAATAAAATTAGAAATCAACTATAATTTAATATTTCTTTTTTTGGGACTTAGATCAAAATGAGAAGTATTTTAAAAAAACAAAGGGAATAGAATTTATTTTATTTTCGGAGTAAAAAAATAAAATAAGTAAATAAAGAAAATACTCCCTAAAATGGGATAAGATAAAGAAAGTGTGATGTCTGTGTGGTGAGGAAGGAAAAAAAGATGAGATGTGTGCGGTGGATGGATGTTAGTGAGGTGTACTTTATGCTTTCTCCTTTAAATTAAATAATAAAATTTAAAACATATAAATAATAAAAATTATTTCAAACAATTATTTAATTAAACTTAAAATAATGAAGTGGAGAAACATATGAACCAAAATAAATACTCCCTCCGTTCTCAAAAACACTTCCTCTTTCATTTTTTCCACTTCCAACAAAACACTTCCCCTTTCTATTAAAAAACCATTTTTACCCTTACTTTTTCATACCCTACCTATCACATCATACTTTTTCTCTAATAATCTATTCATCACATCTTACTTTTACCCATCACATCAGGGGCAAAATTGGAAATCAACTACAATTTAATACTTCCTTATTTTTGCCCCCAAATCAAATGAGAATGGTTTTTCCAAACGGAGGGAGTACATTCTAGGGATGTAAATTGATAACCAAAAATTCGATTACCGTCCATATCCGTATCTGTTTACACGGAAAATATCTGTATCCGTTAAAAACGATTGTTATCCGTATCTTATTAAGGATATCCGATTGGTAAACGGATACCAATTTGGTAATTATACATCCGATCCATTTATAATCCGTTCCGCATTGACATCTGTACTAGTAATTGTTTATCCGTGTATCTGATCTGTTTTATATAGTTTTTCTTAATTTTTTTATATTGTTGCTTTGTTGATATCACAAAATATAAGGCATTTTTATATGCAAAATATACGTAAACACATAAAAATATGTGTGTATATGTACTATGTATATCTTTTTATCATATGAAGTTGTCATAGAGTATCATAAATTTTAAAAAATAAGAAAATAATTATCCCATAACCAATTACAGTTGATTTAATAATATTTTGAGTTTAATTTAATTGAAATTAAAATATTATTTAATTTGATTTTAAAAATTGGAAACAGATTAGGATATATCCGATATCCGACGGATGCGGATACAGTTTTTATTTTAAATGTCCCTCAAGATCCGTATCCAACTTTGATATCCAATAAAAATAAACGGATACAAATTTGTTAATGGCACATCCGATCGAATTAATATCCATTTATACCCTAATAGATTCACCCCAATCCATTAATAGAAACCTTGAACAGAGAAAATCTATCTATAAAAAAATCTATAAAGACTTGGCTTAAAACTAATTATATCACACCATAATACATAATCATTTTCACTGAAATCGCCCAAATATAAAGAAAAAATATCAAACTTAATTAATTAATTAATTAAGGGGGAATTTGATTAGCATGGGATTAATTTACAAATGAGGACATGCAAACAGTATTAGAGTACCTTATCGTCAACATAAGTGGCCCAGAAGCGGGCTTGGGCCCGCTCGTAGTGATCGGCGGGCAAGACGGACGGTCCAGAAGCGGCCCACACATCGTCCACGTACTGGACGATGATGAGGGACTCGCAAATGGGCTTGTCGTTGTGGAGGAGGACGGGGATCTTTTTGTAGACCGGGTTGGACTTGAGGAGAAGCTCGCTCTTGGACCCGAACTTCTCCTGGAGGAACTCGTAGGACACGCCCTTAATGTTTAGGGCAACCCTAACCCGGATCACGAATGGGCTCGCCCATGACCCTAACAGCTTCACTGTCTCGGACGCCATGGCTAAAAGCAGGAAGCTAAGCTAGAAGAGTCTTTGGTGTTTTTGTGTTTCTCTACACAATTCAGTTAGGTGGGGGTATAATATTGTTTTGAATTGGATTTTATATTGGGGAGTTTTAAATTTTAAAAATTGTGGCATGGTGGAAAAGTATACTTTCCCAACAACCTCTCTCTCTCTCTATGACAGATAGTTAGGTAGCGCAAATTTAATTCCTCTTACTTTTGTAATTTCTCTGAAATGATTTACACAATAATGAAAAGTTTTACGGAGTATTTATTTGTATGTTTTTTATTGACTATTTGATAAAATAACATAAGTAAAAAAACTAAAATATGGGTAAGACATTGAAAATATATCAAAATAAAACTTCTATGTTTTTATTGATGAAATAGACTTAAAATGCATTTACATTATCAAACATTGTGATATAGATTACAAAAAAGTATAGTAATGTACAAACACACAGTGTCACATTACCACCACATTATCACAGTGCGAACTCCTATTTCGAAAATAAAAATATAAAACTCCTATTTTGGTACCTTTTTTATGTTTTAGTCCTATTTAGCGTGATTTTTAAATAAAATATTATTGTCACCTCTTGTTTTTACAATCTTTTTTTACTCCGTATTTTATGTCATCTTTTTGTTTTTCATTTTTTTGAAGTCCTAAAAAATTATTTTACTTTTAAAAATCAAATAAGTTAAATTTTTAGATTGAGATAGAGTGAGTATATGCTATTTTATCTTAGGATTTGAGTATTTTTCTAAAAGTTTGAAGAGAAACTCTGAAATATTAATAAAATACTAATGTAGCAGAGTCTGAAAAAGTCTCAAGACTTCTTGCATGAGAGATATCCTTATAATAATAATAATAATAATAATAATAATAATAATAATAATAATAATAAGTAACATATGTATCATACTTACTCCATCCCACAATGATCTTTTTCTATGATAATGTCACAAAGATTAGAGTAAATTCCCAAAATAGTCCTTTGTAATAAGGGATTTTCCCAAATTAGTTCTCAGTAAGTTTTAATTACCTACATGGTCCTCTATAAATGAGATTTATTCCCAAAATAGTCCTTTGTAATAAGATATTTTTCCAAATGACGTAAATTTAATATCAATATATTCATAATGAAACATAGTTTTCAAATATCAAATTTTTATAAAATATATCTATGTGCAAATATAGATATTAATGGTCAAAGTGCAATGTTGGAGACCGTGAAAAGTCAAATGGAAAGAACATTTCCGGACGGAGGGAGTATAAATTTAGGATATATAGCCATTATTTACCCTATAACTCTATTAGATTTATTTTTTTAAATATTATTTTATCAAATTAATATACTATATAATTCTTATTTAACTATACATCAAACTAGTAGTAGAGATCAGGCCTCGGCCCGGTCGTAGGGATCAGTAGGTAAGATCGACGGTCCAGAAGCGGCCCACACATCATCGATGTATTGGATGATGATGACGGATTCGCAGATGGGCCTGTCGTTATGGACGAGGACTGGAATTTTCTTGTAGACCGGGTTTGACTTGAGGAGAAGGTCGCTTTTGGATCTCATCTTCTCTTCTAGGAACTCGTAGGACATGCCCTTAATGTTTAGGGCAACCCGAACCCGAATCACAAATGGGCTCGGCCATGAGCCAATAATTTCACTGTCTCCGAGGTAGGGGTGAGCAAGGACCGAACCGATCCCGATATTTTCCGAAAAAACTGAGAATACCGAACCGATAAAGTACCGAAAAGAAACCGAACCGTACCGAACCGAACGGTCGGTCCGGTATTTGGGAACGGTACGAGGTTACTTCCCATACCGAAATTCCCGAACCGAACATATATACTAATATATTATAAAAATAATAATCTTTTTATATTTCTTCATTAAATAAAAAATTTATATAGACAATTTAGTTTAGTTTCACTATGTTTAAGTTGCACTTTAATAAGAGTTTTTTATTTTTTGTAGATGAGTATAAGAATATTAAAAAATATTTGAAATAATACTTTATTATCACTCGTTCTCCTTAGTATGTGAAATATAAACTAACTTTCATAAGCATTACTTGTATTTTATTTTTGGAAAAATTACCCAAAATAATCCCAACTTTACTCGGTCTTTCAAAAATAATCCCACCTTTCACTGTAATGCATAATAATCCCAACTTTACTGAAATTTGCCAGTTTTGGGTCGCCGTTAAGTTTCTAACGGAGGGATAACGGAAATGCCTGTTTTAGGCAACAAAATGGAAGTTGGGATTATTTTTGATGAATTTTTGTTTTTTAATTTTTTTTTTGAAATTTTTATTTAAATTTTTTGAATTACTTTCAACCTCCATTTCTTTTTCTTTTGTAAAGATTATTCTTACCTTAGAAAAAAAAAATAGATATAAAAAATAATGAAAATGAGAAAAATAACTAAAACCTTTCAAAATTAATCAAATAAATAATGTAATCAATAGAAATTAAACAGAAACTGGTAAGAAATAAAATAAATATATATGGAGTCGTGAATTTAACATTTTACACACTATACGGAGTCTTAATGTACTACTTATTTTTTAAAAGAACAAGCCGTCCGGTAAAGTTGGAATTATTGTAGATAATTTTTTCTAAAAAATAAGAAGTGATAGTTAATGCTTTGTATAATGCCTAAAATATTAAAACCCACCCGTATATTTTTATTTTACTTTTTCCAATTTCAAGTTAGTTTTCATTGATTACCTTATTTAATTTATTATTTTTGTACCATTTTAGTTACATTTCTCATTTTTTCATTTTTTATATCTATTGTTTTTATTTTTTAAACTAAGACTAATCTTTAAAAAAGGAAAAAGAAATGATGATGGAGGTAGAAAGTAATTTTTAAAAAAAATTAAAAAACAAAAATTCATCAAAAATAATCCCAACTTTCATTTTGTTGTCTAAAACGGGCATTTCCGTTATCCATCCGTTAGAAACTTAACGGTGACCCAAAACTGGCAAATTTCAGTAAAGTTGGGATTATTATGCATCACAGTGAAAGGTGGGATTATTTTTGAAAGACCGGGTAAAGTTGGGATTATTTTGGGCAATTTTTCCTTTATTTTTTCATTTTTAATTTTTTTTATCTTTCTTTGGTTAAATGTACTTTTAATTTCCCAAAAATAAAAGGTTTTGTTACATTTTATGATGTAAACTAAGTACGTATATATTCATCCCGATTTGTACCGAAACCGATACCGAACCATCCCAAACCATACCGAACCGATACTTCGGGAACGGGATCGGTACAACGTAAAATCCCATACCGAACCGAAATATTTGGTACGATATCGGTACGAGCAAAATACCGTACCATACCTTACCATGCTCACTCCTACTCCGAGGCCATGGCTAATTAAAGAGTCTTTGGGTTTTTTTTCTCTCTACTACTGAATTTATTAGTTAGGTGTATTGTGTGGTGAAATGAAGGTGCTTCTTACTCCGTGTTATATTGGGGAATTAAATGTGGAATGATAAATGCAAAAACTTTACTTTGCCATTAAAGTCTACCTTGCCACCAACCTCTCTTTGACTTTGGGTCTCTCTTCTAGAATTTGGGTCTTTCTCTTTTGGAAAAACCTAAGTGTACCCTACGATATTGTATCCCAAGTGTACATATCTTCTCAGAGACATACACAGATACTGAATGTTTATTTGTGTTTGTGAGAAGGTGATATACACTTGGAATATACCACTTTGGGGTATGCCTAGCAAATTCATTCTCTTTCTAAAATTCTTAAATGAAGATATTCCCTTCATTCCATGTTAACTACTCCCACCATCCCAAACAGAAGATTACGTTTTATTTTTTGCGCATCCTAAAAAACACTTATACTCACATCTAAAATTCCTAAAATTTATCATATTTACCCTTTATTGTGGGTAGCAGTCATTTTAAAAGTTTTTGGTATTTGAGACGATATAGAAGTGTTTTATGAGATGCACAAAAAAATTAAACGACATTTTCTTTTTTAGACGGAGGGAGTAACTTTTATCACCTCCGTCCCTCTAAGTTCTTGGTAGTCTATTCCGCGTGACTTTATTGTTCCTCTTTTGAATTAATGTGATTTTTATTTCCTTCAAAAAAGTTCTTATTTCTGTTACAATGTTTGATTGAAGTTATTTTTTAATTATTTTATTTGAAAACTAGTGTGGAGTTAACAAATAAAAATTATAGATAGTAAAGCTACATCAAAAGATCTACAAACAAGTGGTGACAATACTATTTTGTTTTATCAAATAATAAAAAAATAAGTAAAAAAATTAATAAAATTTGATCCTATGAATAATTACTTAGAAAAATCTAAAGGGACGGAGGGGTAGTATTTTTCAACACATTACAAAAATCGATGAATGTAGACATAAACTATATCTATATTCAACTATTTTCAATGTATCAAAAAGTCTTAATATATAAACAATTAATATGAAATAGAAGGAGTACTATATGATATCTCTTCTAGAATTTGTCTCTCTTTTTGAAAATCTTAAATAAAGAAAAGGCAAAACAGTAAGTTCTTTCCTCTAAATTTTTGTCATTTTCAAATTTTTTATGTCCAAAACGATTTCGTTTTTATCCATGTAAACCCGAGCACATTATCTCTAAATTGATCGAAGCATCATTTGCGAAAAATAATACGGAGTACATTTAACAGAGATGTTTTCATTAAAAAAAAATACGTAGTATTAAAGAGGACCAGAACTAAAATTCACTTATTTTATAGAGACTAAAAATATACGAAGTATTTAACATAAAGAAATTATCTCTTTTATCACTACTGGTTGTATTACAATGTAATATTTTCTCTGTCCCAAAAAAGAATTACACTTTTTACTATTCAAAAGTTACAGTAATTTTTATTTAATTGTGCTTTTTGATTAATTGGTTATTTGAAAAAATAAAATATTTTTTTCACCTATTATTTTGTTGAACTTTTGACATAATTTTTTAATATGTAAGTTTTAGTTTAAATTTTGAATAAATTCCATAAATTGTTCCCAGTTATAGGTTGTTTTTTCATATTTAGTCCTCACATATTTAATTTGATAAGTTGTATTCTATAATATTATTAAAAGTATCATAATAAATACAAATATAATATTATATTGAATCATAAATCATCTAAAAAAATATGAATCATATATTGTCTAGTAATTATATCAAACCATAAAATTAATATACTCAAACTACCAAATTATGTATAGTATTTTTTCTCTATCTTAACTCATTATAGGCTAGGGAGCTCTTGTTTTATAAAATTTTATTATAGTTTTTAAAATAACTTTTTTATTTTTAAATTTACGGGAATATGTAAATAAATAAAATCAAAACTTACTTATTTAATTTAAACATATAATAAAGAATACTTGCATAAAACTTATTTAGAGATGAAGGAAATATTTTACTCCGGTATTTATTATGTAAATGTTTCCTTGTAAATAAAGAGAAACAAAGTATCATGAAAATGAAGACACCTCTTTCATAATTAAATTTACTCATTGACTTCATTCTGAATTATTAATATTTTATTTTTCGTATCATAAATTAGATATAAAAAAACGCCACATAAGTAATGTCACATACCGGCTTTCTAATCATTAGAATTTCATTTTTATACATGAAAAAATTAAAAAGTGTGACCTAAATTCAAAAGGAGAAACCCAAAGTCAAGAAGAGAGATCCATATTCAAAAAGAGAGACCCAAAATTCAGGAAGACTTGAAGAGAGACCCCCAAAGTCATCAAGAGAGATTAGTGGGCAAATTAGACTTTTCCACTCCCAATTCCCCCCAATATAAGAACCACCTTCAATTCCCACAACCAATACTAAATTCAATTAAAATAAATTAAAAGCCTAAAAAACTCTTTAATTAATTTATACGGAGTAATTACTTAGTAGCTGCTTGCTAGCTATGGCACCTGAGGCAGTGAAGCTGTTGGGCTCGTGGGCCAGCCCGTACGTGATCCGGGTTAGGGTTGCCCTAAAGATTAAGGGCGTGTCCTACGAGTTCCTCGAGGAGAAGATGGGATCCAAAAGCGACCTTCTCCTGAAGTCGAACCCGGTCTACAAGAAAATCCCGGTCCTCCTCCACAACGACAGGCCCATTTGCGAGTCCCTCATCATCGTCCAGTACGTGGACGATGTGTGGGCTGGACCGTCCATTTTGCCCGCCGATCCCTACGATCGGGCCCAGGCCAGATTCTGGGCCACTTACGTTGACGATAAGGTACCCCTCTGATTAGTATGCAAATTAATTGCAAGTTAATTAGATGATTCCCCTAACATTAATTGATTAATTACGTACTCCATGCGTCTTTGTTTGTTAGGACACATGAAGTATTTGGCAATTTGGCACATATTTATTACTCCCTAAAAAAAAAGAATTTATTTTAAAATCAAAATTTGAAAATAAAATTTATACCACATTTTAAAAAATTACATCAAAAGTATTACCGTATAAAAAAAGATATGCCATGATCAACAGATGGAAAAATCTAGGTGTACTCCAAGGTGGTATACACCACTTTCTCACACATACACATAGACACTCATTGTTTGATGTGGCTTTCTGATGCCAGTATTTAGTTATTTTTAACTTTTTCAAATTTAATATATATCCTTAAAATTTTATTCAAAATACCAATGCTAATAGAAATCATTGTTTCCAAACAAAGCCAATTACTCATTGGGTATCTTTTTAATACCGAAGTATTTTCTTTTACTATTTAGAGGGATAAACTTATTTCGTTAGAGGGTGTGCAAGATGTGCACGAGCAAAGACCCTCAATTTTATAAGGTCCAATGTTGCTATATGTTTATTTTTGGAATTGTTTAGTATTTTTAATTTTTTTTTTAAATGTAGAAATATACTGTATATTTTATGGTCATGAAAAATCTAATCTAACACTAATATTAAAATACCCCATACAAAACAAAATATGATCCAAATAATATTTTTGCACATGGACCAGGCCGACCATCACTGTATACATTTACATTATACAAGAGTAGTTATTACTACATCCGTTAGGATTTAGGTGTTCCTTTTTTGACCGCCAACTAGTATTTCATTTTAATTCATGTATTTCAATTCTAAATTTTGAATTCTTGATTTTCGAATGACAAGGTGAGACGTATGGATTTCGAATCGAGCTATGTTATGAATTGGAAGAATTTCACTCAAATTCAAATTCAAATTTTTTAAGTTCCCTAAACATAGAATTTGAACCATGTCCAGATTTGAGATGAATTGGGTCTAGTGTATGATGTCAACTCTCAATTTACCTATCATTATACAGGGAGGCAGGGACTCACAAACAGGTGAAAGTAAAAACGTGTGGTAGGTTACATGAAGAAATTAGGTAAAATAGAACATTAAACATATAATTTTTTAATATTTTTAATATATAATTATTAGATATACAATTCTGCTTAGTTTGTTCTAGTGTGTACTGATAAAAATCCGAATGTGTAACTCTCTTAAACTACTCAGAAATTGCTTAGATGAACAGTTCCAAAAGTCAAAAGTGGACAAACACTCAGGGACGGACCAAGTATGTAAAAGCTAGCAAATCCGTCACGTCGGGTTCAGTTTCAGTCAGTTTGGGTTTAGATTAATTACTTCAGATCGATTCGAGTAAGTTTGGGTCTAGGTTAAGAAATACATGCATATTCATGATCAGGTGTTATTGGGTTCCAGTCAAAACCCCCACCAAGCCCGACCCAACTCATCCCCACACCCCAACTAATTGAACCCTCTAAATTTCATTGACTTCGGAGTCGAATTTATTTGATTGCAGTGGTTCCCGAGCATGCGTGGCTTAGCTTTCGCTCAAAGCGAGGAGGCGAAGAGGGAGGCGATCAAGCAAGTGGAAGAAGGGTTGGCGGTCCTAGAAGGCGCTTTCCATAGCTGCAGCAAGGGAAAGAAGTTCTTCGGGGGGGACGCGGTCGGGCTTGTGGACATTGCACTCGGGAGCAACATTGGCTGGGTCAGGGTGACCGAGGAGCTCAACGCCTTCAAGCTCCTTGACGAGGCCAAGCTGCCCGGCTTGGCCAAGTGGGCCCAAGACTTCTGCGAGGACGATGCCGTGAGGGAGATCATGCCCTCCACTGAGAAGCTCTCGGAGTTCGCGAAAACGGTCTTCGCCAACATGAAGAAGTGATCTGATCTGATGAGGAAGTTATTAAACCTCATCATCAAATAAAAAATCTGTCTGTTGTTTGTTCATTTTGTGACTTTTCGTGTGTGTTGAGACTATTGAGCTTTACTGCTTGGTTTGGCTTCTGCTAACCATTTGCTTAGTTGGTAACAGTAAATTTCTTTCCTTCTACAATGAATACTGAATAGTGTCATTTGAAATACACCGATATGTATCTCGCATTTACTGCATACTCCATAAAATTCCTCTTGATGTCATGGCTAAAAGATATACTCCCTCAGTCCACAAATAACTCCGTCCACAAATAAACTTTATATTCACTATTCATAGGGTCAAACTTTATTCACTTTGTTGGCCTATTTTCGTTACCCATTTGATAAAATAATATAGTCATGTCACATCTAGTTTTGTAGATCTTTTAATATAGTTTTTTAATATGTGATTTTTATTTTAAAATTTCACACCATTTTTCATATAAAATGATTTAAAAATAACCACAGTCAAACATCGTAACACGCAATGTAAAGTTTATTTGTGGACGGAGGGAGTAGTTCATTTTTCTCATCTATTAGGTTATCACGTATAATACACATATTATACAGCCGTACGTAAAATATATGTATTATACATATCAAGAAACCATTTTAGCTAAAAGTTCAAGTTTGTGGTTGTTGCACATAAATTGTTTTATATACTTTAACACGTTCTCTCACGTGTAGGCGTGACTTCTTTTGAGTCTTGCACGTGAGGCCCTAATTTTTTTAAAAACTAGGTGGCGTTGTGTTTCAAACTCATGACTTAGGGCCTGTTCTTTAGGACTTGAACTCTTAACTTCCAGTTTCTTCCAGTTTTTCCAGTTTCTTCCAGTTCCTCCAGTTTCTTCCAGTTTCTTCTAACTTTTCTCATTTTCTTCAAATTCTTTCTACGCCTCAACCAATTACTCTAAAAATGATATATTTTAATGTGATTATTATTATTATTATTACAACTGTTATATTCATAACTATAGTTTATAAATTATTTTTTTCATCTCACTATTTTTGTGATTCACACTTATTTTTTTCAGCATTTTAATATGAATAAGACATTTTTTTGTATATTATTCTATATGAAAAAACAGGAAAACATCAATATGATAAATTATACTAAAAATTATGGATAAAATAGTTACATTGAATGTTTTATTAATATAACTTTTTATAAGACATCTCAGTTTTTCCTTTATTACTTAAGAATTGCTCATTTTTCTAATTTTTATAAAAAAAAATTGTAAGTTAAAAGAGCGTAGAGAAAATGACTAAAATATGAGTAAAACATAAAAAATGTAAACAAAAAAGTTCTATGTCTTTATTCCAAAAATAGGAATTCAATGAAAATAAAATGTTAATCATGAAAAAACGATAGGTTTGATTATGTGACATGTATGATATTTAAAACAAAATGTTTTAATATATAAATTATAATTAAAAATATATTTTTTATAATAAATACTGCATAAAAGAAACAATAGTTTTAATATAATAATAATAATAATAATAATAATAATAATAATAATAATAATAATTTATAACAACAAGAATTTAAAATAAATATTTTTAAACTTTTTTTAGGTTTTTCAATTTTTTGAAGTTTTTCCAGTTTCTTCCAGTTCCTTCCAGTTTTTTCCAATTTCTTCCAGTTCCTTCCAGTTTTTTCTAGTTTCTTCCAGTTCCTCCAGTTCCTTCCAATTTCTTCCAGTTCTTCCAGTTCCTTCTAGTTTCTTCCAACATCCAGCTCTTTTTTTACATTCCTAAAGAACATGCCCTTATTGGTCAACAAGGGTTTGATACGATGGTAAGGAATTAATTCAACTAAAAGATCAAGCTTGTGATTGTGGCGCGTGAAAAGTTTTCATATACACTAATAATACTCACAAAAAGTATCAATATTTGAATCTCTTATCTATGCATGAATTCGATTTCCCTGTAAATGCAAGCATTAATTTTTTATATAATTATAAATATTTGTTTAATAAATATACTGAATCTGGATCAAACTAAAATTATAACAAACCTCTTGATCATGAAAGATAACACCGAGAAATTCTGGCGCTCGATCAAAGACATGCCAGCGGTTTAATAAACTCTTATAGCTCTCACTTTTATCATGAACGGGCCAAGACTATCTTCAATTTTATTGAGCGTTGACCACGCACCCATGATTATTTATGTATGTTTGTACTAAATAGCGTAAATAATATAATGTTGAGAAGGGATTTATACAAAAAAAAATCTAAAAAGGGATTTTTTTTAAATAAACATCATCACTATTAATTATTCTTGTGCATTAATTATTCCAAAAAAGAAAACTCACCGTTTTTTATTTCTTCGCATTAAACACACGATTTTAAAAACTAATAGAGGTGTATATTATTCAGTCTGGACCCGGATCAACCCAAAACCCGACCAAAATCAGACCGGGTCGGTGTATATTTTTTCTTACAGCCATTTTAACATTTCTTACCCGAATTGCATCCCAAAAGGATGCACCAGTATTTTAACATTTCACACTTGCACAAAGTGTCAGTTCAATAAAAAAATTACACTGATACACTAGCACAAAATATTAATACATGTCTTCGAGGTATAAATTGGGATACAATTTTTTGGGTAGACATAGTTGAATAACTTGAATTCTTTTTCTTAACACTCTTTTGTGTGGGCTAAAATTGTGCTTGAATATCATTCAGTTTTACCATGCTTCAACTAAACGCAGTAGGTAGGTTTGTAGGTGGCAGTTGCACATTTGTGGCTTGCATTAAGGCATCATACTCTTCTGCTCTCAACCACCAATGATGGTGTATATTAAAGAAAAGAGAAATGGTTGCTGAACACCATACACTACATGTACACCAAGCTAAAAATAAGCACACAAAGACACTTATAGTCTATGCATGTACATACATTAAGTGTTTGTATGTGTCTATTTTAGACTTGGTGTACATGTGGTGTAGCCCAAGTGATGTTCCCCTTACACTCTAAAGAAAAATAATAAAGAAAGAAAGAAAGAGGAGACGTTGGTACCCATTTCTAAAACCATATGGGGTAGCGGAACTATTTACCAAATATTTGAAAAATATTTTAGTCAATAAGGACATTGCGTATCAATATCAAAACCAGGCAATGACATACGTTTTGAAACCCTTGGGGCAACGATGCATATTTACCAAACCATTAGGGGTAATGGTGCACATATATAATTTACTCATATCAAATACTAGTCATATAATTTTTTTTTTGAACCGAAAGCAAATATATTTCACCACCAAATGTCAATGAAAACAACATATTACAAAGAACAGGAGAACAAAATACTCCAAATGGACAAGCATTCTAGAACTGCGCAAGAAGAAGAAAAAAAAACCGAAAGTAACTAGGCTTTTCCTTTTCCTTCCATATACACACTCACTTGGTATATAATCTCCTGGAATACATCCTCAGTAGGCTTGGATTTCCCTTGGAAAATCTTTTGGTTACGGGCCTTCCATATTGCATAGGCAGTTGCTGCATAAGTGGAAATGATTTCCCTTCTCTTCCTAAGTGGTTTTATCTTTAAGGAATCCCTTATCACTTCTTTAAGGTTGCGACCTTCAAAATTATAGCCAAGACTAGGGAGGAGCTTTCTGTAGATATCTCTTGCATATTCACATTTGCACAATAGATGTTCAATATCCTCCTGCTCCTTCAAACAAAACTGGCATAAGGTATCAATGGGTAAAAATCTGGCCAGCATACATTTTGTTTGAAGCTTCCCTCTACAAATCAGCCATAAGATGAATTTATGTTTTGGTATTGTGAGTTTATTCCATACAAATCCCTCCCATTCAGCCTTCTGTTTCTCCCCCAATAACCATAGATATCCCGCATTAGGTGAGTATGCAGTAGTTTTATCCATATCGGCAAAACAGTCTCTCACGTGGAGGAGTTTTTTCCAATAGAAACAACTGTCATTTTTGCTCTGAAGGTCCCAAATACTGCACTTCTTTAAGTACTTATTGTGGATCCATTTGATCCACAAGATATCCTTTTTTAGTGAAATATCCCAAATCAACTTCATAAGACTTGCCTTGTTCCATAGCACCAGATTTTTAAATCCAAGCCCTCCATATTTTCTAGGCATGCAGATATCTTCCCAAGCAACCAAAGGAACTCTTTTCTTTTCCTGAGTGGAGCCCCAAAGGAAATTCCTGCATAGTCCTTGGATCTTCATCATTACCTTGGCGGGGATTTGAAACAATCTACTCCAAAAACTGATTATGCCATATAACACAGCATTAATCAGCTTGCATTTGCCAGCATATGAGAGGTTCTTTGATGTCCAGGCATTAATCTTACTTGTCATTTTCTCAATAAGCCTTTCACATTCCTTTGCACTGATTCTTGAGGATGTAATGGGACCTCCTAAGTATGTGAATGGCAGCTGTCCTTTCCTCATGTTGGTGATCTGCAACAGTTTATGTTCCACCTGCGTTTTGATCCCTCCAAAAATGATTTCAGATTTTCCCTGATTAACAGACAGCCCGGTAGTAGCCCTAAAGTGTTGTAGAGCTCTCATAATACAATGGATAGTGTTTTCTTCAGCTTTGCAGGCTACTATGAGGTCATCAGCAAAAATGATATTAATGAGGTTCGTGGACTTACACATAGGGTGGTATCCAAATTTTTCTTTTGAAGCAAACCATAGGAATGTTCTAGTCAGGTATTCCATGATGATAACAAAAAGAAGTGGGGAGACTGGATCTCCTTGCCTAATGCCCTTTCCTCCTCTGAAAAACCCAAAGCTCTCTCCAGCAAACAGGATTGAATAGGTTGGAGTAGTCACACAAAACTTGATCCAGCTTATAAACTTCGAAGGGAACTTCAGCAAGGTGAGGATCTGAAATAAGGCCTTCCA